GGTGCGGCGCTGGGGGCCCCTCCCCGGCAGCCCCCCAGCTGCTCTGTCCCAGGCGTCCAGATTCAGCCGCTGTTGAAACGAATCAGCGGCTGATTCCAGGAAGCCCGGAGCAGAGCAGCTTTGCCTCAGGCTTCCTGTAGTCAGCCGCTGGTCAGTTTCAACAGCGGCTGAATCTGGACACCAGTTCCAACTTACATACAACTTCAACTTAAGAACAAACCTACAGTCCCTATCTTGTACGTAACCTGGGGACTGCCTGTATTTTTTTTCTTTTCCCTTCTCCTTCTCCCCCTGCGCCTTCCCTTATTTATTCTTGGATCTGGACTTTTAATACTCCAGTCATATAAAGTGGGTTAAGCCCATGAAAGCTCATGATACCATCTACATGTTTTGTTGGTCTTTAAGGTGCTGCTAGAATATTTGTTATGATCATCTAGTCACTTCTGAACTTCTATATAACTCACATCTGAGGACTTCCCCAAAATAATTGCTAGAGCCTGTCTTTGAGGAAAACATCCAATCTTGATTTAAAATTTCTCTGTGATGGAGGATAGAGGTGATTGTGAATAGTGCATTGCACTGTACCAGTTTGGGTATCTCCACAGGATTTCTTGTCTAAGACCTCCAGTTATTAGCAAACCCTTTTGTTATGCCTGGTTTTTGGAGGCAGTAGAGTGACTTCTATTTCTCTGGCAAGGAACAAAATGGGCATCTGGGCTTTTAGGCTCAACTTTCTTTCTTTTGAAGTGTTTTCACTAGAAATAAGAGGAATCTCCAGTGTTGGTGTGGTGAATGATGTCATTAGTAAAGTCCATTCCAACTGAAAAGATGAGAAGCAATAAAAGTTAGAGGCCGTGAAGATGGCATACCCAGTCCTGGAGTCCCACTTGTAACTCTGGTTGTGAAGGGTCTCTGAAATTAGGATAAAAATGTCTTAAGTAGGAACTAAATCCAGAAGGTCCTTGCTAAGTCCCACTGCTTACTAGTGAGATTCAGTGCAAAGTCCTATATTTTACAAGTTAGCAAAATAAACACAAAAAAGGCTTATGCATCATAGAATGCATTGTATTAATTTCTTTGGATCACTGCTGTTTTCTTTAGCTAGTTGTAATATTTCATAGTATGCTAGTGTTACAATATGTGAAGATTTGGTGCTCTTGAGACCTTTCTACAAGTTGTTCTGACAGCTTTCTCGGGGGAGCAGAAAGATTGCTGCTATTGTGCTACATTTTGCTGTTTTTTGCCTTTATGTAGGAGCTGGTCAGACTCTCAGTCGAGAAGAAGGAACATCCATCTCCCACAAGCCCAGTTAAGCCCAGTTTACCAGTATGTAAATCCGACAGGTAGGTCAATGACAAATGGTTGTTTGACGCCTTAAAAGACACACACACATCCCTGTCTGTGTGTGAGTTTTTCTTTGTTCATGGTAGCTGAATACTTTAGGACCAGGATCTGGCACATTTCCTCACTCTGGAAAGCACCATACTCCTCCAAGAGTTCTTCTGATTACAGTGGGTTACTTGAGGAGCAAGGAACAACCAGTGTGAGGAAAGATGCTGAAATCTGGCAACAAGAAGTCATCTGGCTGCTGCTGTGCATGTTACATTGTGGAAGCCTATGAAATTTTGCTGTGAGAAAGTATTTTTTGCCTTTCAGTGTTACTTCTTATAAATGTGTATTTTAAAGCATATGTGTAAATCACATGCAGGTAGTGTTCTACAAATTGTGGTTTATGCTTTGCAGTCCCTCAGAGCTTCCCCTGACGGACAGAGAGATGGAGATTCTCAATAAGACAACTAGTATGTCTCAGTCTGCCGACGTACTGACCGACTCAATGGATGAAGAGATTGCCCCTCCCAAGCCCCCTCTACCTTGCATTCGTGTGGCAGAAAACAGGTAATCCTGACATGCAGCCTGCCTCTTGTATAACAGTCATGCCCATTCTCACTACTGTATACAACCTTATTACATTAGCCCCCCAATGTAACCTGTACATGAGAGAAATCCTTCTGTTTGTTATAGATGTCCCCTTGTTGTAACTACAGCCCTTACCGTTGTAAACTCTTTCTCTGCCATGTTGCATTTCCTGCCCTTCAGGGTGAATTCTCTGAATAACATTGAGTCCCTGAAAAATGTCTCTCCCTTCCTGCAGGACAGGAAGGATTTTAAAAATCCTGGATGGTGTGCTTCATATGGTTTACGTTTTCCAAATGGAAAACTGGTGGCTGCTGTGGCTAAAGAAACTTCAGAGGTCTTTGTGTAAGATGTGAAGCCAGAATTGCCTATTGGCAAAGTCTGAGAGTCAAGATTCCTGGGATCTGTTTCCAACTTGGCCACTGGTTTGTTGTCTGTTTTGAGCAAGTCCCTTTATTTGTGCCTTTCTTTCCCCATGTATAATTTTAGGCTAACACTTCCTTTGGGAAGATACTTGGAAGAAAATGTGTACTATATAGTCTTATTGAAAAGTACACAAAGGCCCTGGAGAATGACATTTTCCTGTGATGTTTTAGTTATATGCGTATGGGACTTGATCAGTTCTCATCAAAACCAAAGGGAGTCTTTTTGTTCATTTCAAGGGTAATTTTAGCAGCATTCTGAAAATATCATGGGTAGACTATGTAGCCATTACAAAGTATCGTAATTTATTGGAACTAAGCAAAGGATAATCCGGGATCTCATAACAAGAAAGATTTAATTTGCTGTGCACATTTTAAGGGGTTGAGCAGGCAATGTGTGTTCATTGGCACTGGAAGAGAATGTAGGTGGCCAGAGATCATGAGGCAGAAAAAGAAGAATTTGGGTGGACAATATATTATCCTAGTTGAATCAGAAGGACTGGATGGACTGTTAATCTGCAAAGAGATTAGCAGAGGATCATACCAAATGGGCCACCTTAGTTGAAAACTTCCAGGAATGGAGATGCCACATATAAAGAAGAATCTACACGCAGTTAGTTGCACATTGTTTAGCACATTAAGAAACTGGTGAAAGGGATTTAAACTGTGTAAAAGTCATTTTTAACTGTGTGTCCTTCCTCTTTCTAAATAGTAACCACAAAAAAGTTTCTACACTCTATTCTGAGAAGGAGGAAAAACCTCTAGGCTTCAGCATGTGCATATGGTGTGTGCATGTTATATGATTGACCACTATAACACCGTTGCTAGTTGGTGGTGTGAAAATGTACCTCATGTGGTTACTTAGAAACATGAGGGTCTTCTGCTATTGAAGTCTGTGGGTGGCAGTGACAATTGCAATTCTGAATTATAATGGAATATATGAAAAGCCGTGGTATATTCCAGGAAGAGAATGTGTGCGTGCTAATGGCACCATGCAGCTTGAGCATCAGCTGACTTCTATATCAGTGGTATTAGAAGCAACTTCTGAACATAGAGTGAGATCAGTCCCATATATTGTGATAAAACCACTTCAGTGTTATAAGAGGTAGGCATTTCCCAGCATTATACTGGTGCCAGTGCAAAAATATAGGGCCCTTTCAGTATAGACAGTACAGAGCAGGGATGACCATCTACCTAATGTGGTGAGTCAGATATAATCCTGACCCCTAGAGCCTCAATGCAGCTTTTTTATAATGAAGTATTTGAAGTATCTGAACTTTTTTTTTTTTGGTCTTGCAGCCCTCCTCCAGCATTGCCCCCTAAGAAAAGGCAGTCTGCACCTTCTCCTACCAGAGTGGCAGTAGTGGCACCTATGAGTCGAGCCACCAGTGGATCTAGTTTACCTATTGGAATCAACAGACAGGTAATGGCATTAACTCTTAAAAAATATGAGAATCGTATCCTGAAATGCAATGGTGGAAGCTGAAAGAAACACTGCAGCACCCAGACCACTACCTCTTTTGCCAAATAACCCTTGTTTTAGAATCATAATTAGAGTTAAAAAAGAGGCCTCAGGAGATCATGTAGTCCAACCACACTCAAAGCAGGACCACCCCAACTAAAATATCCCAGCCAGGGCTTGTCAAACCAGGCCTTAAAAACCTTTAAAGATGGAGATTCCACCACCTCCCTAAGTAACCCATTCCATTGCTTCACTACCTTCCCAGTTAAATAGTTTTTTTGTTGATATCCAACCTAGACCTCCCCCACTGCAAGGTGAGATCCTTGTTCTGTCAATTGCCACCACTGAGAATAGCCTGGCTCCATCCTCTTTGGAACCCCCCTTCAGGTAGTTGAAGGCTACTATCAAATTCCTCCCTCATTCTTCTCTTCTGCAGATTAAATACACTCATTTCTCTCAGCCGCTCCTGATAAGTCATGTGTCCCAGCCCCCGATTATTTTCATTTCCCTCCGCTGAACTTTCTCCAGTTTGTCCATATCCTTTCTTTTTCTTCACTCAGTGCACAGTCAACCTGTGGAACTTGTTGCCAGAGGATGTTGTGAAGACCAGAACTTTAATAGGGTCCAAAAAAAAAAAAGCTAGATAAATTCATGGATGTTGGGTCCATCAATGGCTACTAGCCAGGATGGGTAGGAATTGTGTCCTTAGCTTCTGTTTGTCTGGATGACAGGAAAGGGATCACGTAATGATTACTTGTGTTCACTCTCTCTGGGGCACCTGGCACTGGCCACTGTCAGCAGACTGGCTACTAGGCTAGATGGACCTTTGGTCTGACCCAGTATGGCCATTCTTATGTTCTCTCTGTAGTGGAGGGCCCAAAGCTGGATGCAGTACTCCAGATGTGGCCTCACCAGTGCCAAACAGAGGGGAATAATCACTTCCCTCAGTATGTTGGCAATGTTTCTACTAATGCAACCCAATATGTCTTGCTTGGCAACAGGGACATGCTGTTGACTTATATCCAGCTTCTTGTCCACTGTAATCCCCAGGTCCTTCACTACAGAACAGCCACTTAGCCAGTTAGTCCCCAGCCAGTAGCAGTGCATGGGATTCTTCCATCCTCAGTGCAGGATTCTGCACTTGTCCTTGTTGAGCCTCATTAGATTTCTTTTGGGCCAATTCTCCAATTCGTCAGTCACTCTGGACCCTATTCCTACCCTCCAGCGTATCTACCTCTCCCCTCAGCTTAGTGTCATCCATGAACTTGCTGAGGGTTTTCTGTCCATCTTATAGTCCATTCCTCCAAGTCTTACTACTTTAACTTGCTGGCAAGAATAGTGTGGGAGAATGTACAAGAAATTTTGTTAAGGTCAAGATCTATCACGTACACTGCTTTCCCCACATCTACAGAGCCAGTTATCCCATCCTTGAAGGCAATTAGGATGGCCAGGCATAACTTGCCCTTGGTGAACCCATGTCGGCTGTTCCTGATCATCTTCCTTTCCTCCAAATGTTCCAAAATAGACTCCTTGGGGATCTATTCTGTGATTTATTTTTTTCCCAGGGACAGAGGTGAGACTGACTGATCAAGAGCTCCCTGGAGTCTCCTTCTTCCTTTTTTAAAGATGGGCGCTATATTTGCCTTTTTCCAGTGGTCTGGGACCTCCCTCAGTCGCCATGAGTTTTCATAGATGATGGCCAATGACACTTCTGTCACATCAGCCAACTCTTTCAGCACTTTCAGATGTGTTGGATCCAGCTCCATGGACTTGTGCAAGTCCAGCTTTTCTAAAAAAAAATCCTTAATCTGCTCTTTCACAACTGAGGGCTGCTCACCTCCTCCCATGCTGTGCTGCCCAGTGCAGCAGCCTGGGAGTTGACCTCGTCCATGAAGACCGAGGGTTGAGGGGGAGAGAAACATTGAGTACTTCAGCTTTTTCCACATCATCTGTCAGTAAGATGACTTCCCCATTCAATAAGGGTCCTGCGCTTTTCCTGACCTCCTTGTTGCTAACATACCTGTAGAATTCCTTCTTATTCATCCCTTGCTAACTTGCAACTCCAGTTGGCCTGCGACCTTCCTGATTATACCTCTTCATTCTTGAGTAATATTTTTATATTCCTCCCTAGTCATCTATCCAAGTTTCCACTTCTTGTAAGCTTCCTTATTGTGTTTAAGATTGACACAGATTTCTGTTAAACCAAGTTGGTCATCTGACCTATTTTTAAAGAACTCTGTTGGAATGGACATATGGTTCGTGCAGCACGTTGGGGAGCTCAAAACGTCATATGCAGGCATCTTAAAATACATTTAACCTAAAGAGAGGGGTTTAAACAGTTGTGTTCTGTCCATTAATGGGCTTGGCATGGGTAAAATAGCTGAATAGTAGGGAAATTAGAAAAATGATGGAATTACATGGGTTGTTTGTTTGCCTTCCCATAACTATTATTTGTCATTGGTACAGCGCTAAAATATATGCCTGCTGGAGGGGGGAGGGGTATTGCTGTCCCTAAATGCCTGCTGTCCCTGTGCTCTGGGACGGGGAGGTTGGAACCCTCCTCCCTCCCCAGTGCTCTGGGAGGCTGGGGTGTATACTTGCTCGCTTAGGGTTACCAGGTGTCCGGTATTGACCCGGACAGTCCGGTATTTTCGCCTCCTCTCCAGTAAAAAAAAAAAAAAAAAAAATTTCAGAAAATATCAGACACCTAAATTGTCCAGTATTTTCTGGGGGTTTTTTCCCCTTCCAGGAGGCGAAAATACCGGACACCTGGCAACCCTACGACACACTCAGCAACAGGGCCCCCAGACCTCCTGTTTACCTGGTTCAGCCGGGAAGCTCCCTTCTGGCTCAACCAAGAAAACAAGATGGCCACCAGCAAAAAGCCTAAAGACCTCAGCAAGGGGAATCAATGCCTTCCCTGGGTCTTAGTGCTCAACTACTCTTCTTCCTAGCCCTATTCGGACTCTGCATGCACTTGAAGGGCCATGCTGTTGTAATGCTGTTTTGCTTTATTTATTTATTTATTTATTTATTTATTTATTTATTTATTTGCTTAATGACTCTCAACAATTTTAGTCTTCCCCCCTTGTTTTCCCCTCAACAGAATTTTTTCCTCAGTTTTTTTGGGGGGGTGGGGGGTGTTTGGTATTTTTCGTTAAACCATCTGGTAACCCTATGCTCGCTCCCTCCCCTCCTCTGCCTATGGCCGGGGCACGCACTTGGCATGCTGCCCCACCTCCTCCCCTTCCTGTGGGTGGGCGGCGCCTCAGCAGAGTAGGAGGGGCTGCTCCCAATCCTAGCTGCACCGACCGCCCATTAGTATTGTGTAGCATAGTACAATTCCCATCCCTCTTTCTGCACATCACTCAGGTGGTGGGGGCCCAGCCACTCCTATGGAGGGGAATCCCCTCGCCTCTCACCATGCAGTAGCATGGGTAAGCTCAGCAAGTCTGACGAGCAGCTCTCCTCGCTGGACCGGGACAGTGGGCAGTGCTCCCGCAACACAAGCTGTGAAACATTAGGTAAGCAGAGGGTCTCTTCAGAGCCAGTGGGGAGTACCAGTTCATTCCAGAGTGGGGGCCCAGCCACTCCTATGGAGGGGAATCCCCTCGCCTCTCACCATGCAGTAGCATGGGTAAGCTCAGCAAGTCTGACGAGCAGCTCTCCTCGCTGGACCGGGACAGTGGGCAGTGCTCCCGCAACACAAGCTGTGAAACATTAGGTAAGCAGAGGGTCTCTTCAGAGCCAGTGGGGAGTACCAGTTCATTCCAGAGTTGAGTCTTTTCAGAGCCATGATGCAGAATTATAATGAGCTCCTGCCAGGATAGCTGCTGCTGGTGGATGAATTATATTCTGTTGCGGGTGAGGAAAGGCATGAAAGTTCAGAAATCGTTTAGCTGTAAGAAGTCTGAATTCAGACTCGGTTTGGGTCACAAGGTAAAATGCTTGTTTGTTTTAACCCCATTTCTGCCCATCAATAGAAAAGGGCAGTTCCACTAGGTTAAACCTATTTTATTTTCAGATTTTGAAGGAGATGTAACTATGGGTGTCTTGTAGCCTAGGCAGGGGAAGGCTTTGCCTTTCCAAACCACCTGGTGTGGCCCCACCCACACTCCACCCCCGGAATACCTAGTGTAGATGTACTGAGGGTGGAGTGTTGTGCCCCCGAGTGCTCACCTGCCTCATGCTCCAGGGCCGGGCAGGCTGGAGCCACATGGCCTTCTTCCTCCCCAGTACTCTTGGGGCTGTGGGCTCCTTCCGGAGGGTGCTTGGGCTGCACGGCTCCTCCCTCCCCAGTGCTCTGGGGGCTGGGGAGGCTGGCGTCATGCACGCCCACCCAGTCCCTGTGGAGGGTGCATGCTTGGCACACTGCCCAGCCTCCTCCCCTCCATGTGGTAGGGGGCGGGGCCTCAGCCAAGGGGCAGGGATATAGGAGGGGCCTGTAGGGCCTGCCTCCCCCAGCCCTCGCTGCATGGATCACATGTGGGCAATATGCAGTAACTGAGTTTAGGTGTGAATAATGCATGATGTTTTTATCATCTTTGTTGTACACAGATCACTATGATCCGGACTATGAATTCCTGCAACAGGACCTCTCTAATGCTGACCAGATACCTCAGCAGGTGCCAAGTGTCCTCAGCCCATTGCCAGAGTCCTTGGGCGAGTGTGGCTCCCCATTACATGGACACGTTTTCCAGCTGCCACCGAGCAGTTCCCCCCAACCGCAATACTGCAGCCCATTGACAGCAACACAGTCTACAGAGACTCCTCCAGCCTTGCCAGAGAAGAAGAGGCGGAGTGCAGCCTCTCAGATTTTGGATAATGCGGGCTGCAGGATTTCCTATGAGAGGCACCCCTCACAATATGATAACATCTCAGAAGATGATATGCAGAACCCAGGAGCTCTCTCATCAGTACCTTTCTCAGCATTTGTTCCTGTCTTGCCCTTCCAGCAGGGCAATTCTTCAGTGCCAGCTGAATTCATTACTGAGTTTGCTGCTCCTGACTCTACGGGTGACCCAGAGAAACCACCCCCTCTTCCAGAGAAGAAAAACAAACACAGTAAGCAAGTGCCTGCATTGGCATTTCTCTTTCTTTCCCTTTGACAAATCTTCACAAGCGCAGTGTCCTACAGGTGATTATGTCCTTATTCCCTCAGGCCAAGTATTAAAATAGTTAACAGCAAAGGTACGGGTGGGCGGTGCCAAACCTTTGTCAGAAGAGCCAGCTTTGTAAGGGTACTTCGGAAGCCAGTCTGCATCTTTAAGAACCTGGGTGGGATTTTAAAAAATGCCTGCGCACCTAACTCCCACTGAAATCTAAGACCATGGCTATGTCTGCCCTTAAAATACTAAGGCAGCACACTTATGTCACTGCAGTGTTTTAAATGTAGACACTCACTTCAGTGATGGGAGGGTTTCTTCCATTGCTGTAATTAATTCACCTCCCCAGAAGGTGCCAGGTAGATCGTTAGATGAATTCTCCTTTCAGCCTACCATTGTCAGTACCAGGTCAGCTTAATGACATCTCTGAGGATTTGGAATGTTAGAAATTGATTATTTTAATAATCGTATAACTGCTAAAATTCTTAGTTACAGAGTAACTCAGTTTCCCCCCCGAGGGTGGGGCTGGCAACCAGTGTACTCTTGGCCCCAGTCCCACGGAGCCCCCGGTCATCATACGCTGCTGCTCCTTCTGTATCAGAGGCAGCCGCACAGGGCAATATGCAGCTCCCCTGAGTGCTCTTCATTTAAAACTCAGACCAGAAGATTGGGAATGAGCAAGCCTGCCAGTCTGAGTTTTAAATGCAGAACACGTGGCGAAAGGGGGGAGTTGTTGCAGTTAACCAGGACCAGTAAGCAGTCTCTTATCAGTTAACCAGATAGCTGTTAATATCCCTACTGAGGAATGTGGATTTTTCACAACGCTGAGACAGATGCAACTTTACATTGTAGACTAGTCCTGCAAGTGAAAATCTCCTCTGTCCTATTTTATGTCTTCCCTATAGAGCAGCTTTTCCCAACCTATGGGTCGGGACCCAAATATGGGTCTCCATTACGTTTCAGAAGGGTCGCCAAGTGTCTCCCCAGGTGGCTCTGCCTCCTCTCCTGCCCCTGTTCTTCAATTGCCTTGGGTCACCAAGTCTTCCTGAATTGTCAAAATGGGTCCCCATCTGGAAAAAGTTGGGAACTGCTGATAGAGCCTATTCTGATATAACCCCCAGTGTAGATATTGCCTTTATCAACAGAAGGAGCTGTTCTGCCACTGTAGGAACAGTTTCAGAGGGGTAGCTGAGTTAGTCTGTAACAGGAAAACACATAGTCTGGTAGCACTTTAAAGACTAACAAAACTCGTAAATGGTATCATGAGCTTTCGTGGGCACAACCCATGTGAAGAAGTGGGTTGTGCCCACAAAAGCTCATAATACCATCTACGTGTTTTGTTAGTCTTTAAAGTGCTACCAGATTGTGTTGGTTTTTTAAGTTTTTCCTGTAGGATCAGTGTTAGGTATGTGGAAAGCAGTATTCTTTTGTCAGCGTAGTTGTGTGGCTTAGGGAAGTGAGCTTTTTCACATCCCTGACCAAAGAGAGCTATGCCAATGTAAGTTTTAGTTGTAGATGAACTACAAGGGAGCCAGATAGCAGCAGTTAACGTGACAGGTTAAAGTATTACCACTGCCTTTAAGGGTGGTTTCCTTTTCTCTCCATATCACTCTCAAGCCAGAGTGGCCCTGCCTTTTGGATCTTCCTATTTTATTCCCATAGAATCACCTCAAAATTGTTATGGCCACTTTCTCACCGTAGAGGAAGTCTGGACTGCCTCCAAGAGGCCAAGGAGAGAGGTTCTTTCCTGATCCTTCTCTCCTTCTTAAAGCTAAGAACTGCCAGCCCAGCAGTTTAGCATCCAGGTTGTGATCACAGCATGGCAGCACAGGACTTACGTATCGGGATGATGCCCAATGCTACTATTTTGCCATGGGTTCCTGTCTTCATTTGAATCATAACAAGATAACATTATTAAAATGAGTACTGATTGCCAGGTCTTTCCATCATAAACCAATCTCTCTCATCCTCAGGCAGCAGCTCTGATTGCCACTCATCAGTACCACTTATTCTGATTACCTTAATTTTCACTAAACAGTAGATCTTTTGCTTAAAACATGGGAGTCGCATTGAAAGGGAGCAGCTATATTGATTGATCAGGGAATGAACTAGGCCCTGGAATGTGTGATGAGATCCAGCAAGTGACCAGTCACCGGCTAGCTTCACAATTCTGTATTTAAATAGGTTATGTGCACTGCCTCATCCTCCAGCATTAGGATCAACCATATATTATAATGTGACTCCTAGCTGAACCCAAGAGAAGACTTGGAAAATGCCAAGTTCACCTTCTGGCGGGCCTGGGTTTGTCGTTTGCCATCTTTTCATGGAAAGAGGTGTGTGGAACTTGCCTGGCTTGTTTAGCTGGTCACTGTTGTATTACACCTCAGCCAATACCTACTTGCCTGGCTTGTTTAGCTGGTCACTGTTGTATTACACTTCAGCCAATACCTTTCTTACATTAATCATAAAAGCACTAGTTCATCATCAAAAATCAGCATCTCCACTGATAAGAACAGAGCCTAAGTTTTCCACGCCACACTTGTAACCCGTACTGTTTTTGCTCTGAGAGCTGAGCGTGACCTGGGCCCAGTCCTGAGAGGCAAGTCTGTTGGGGTACGTTGTCCCCATATATAATACGTTATAGACAATAACATATCTCTGTCCCTTGTGAGCAAGGCAAAATATTTAAAGGTACCTAGAGTAAATAGGGAGCTTCCATGCTGACTTGTAGACATCCCAAAGGAAATTAAAGCTAGTTACTGAGAGCACAGTCAATAACTCAAGCTATACTAAATGATTTAGTAATATCAGCTATAGGGTTTGTATGCAGTGCTAACTGAATGATGCAAATCTGTATTGCCAGTCACGGTCTCAGGTACACGTAGCTCATCTCTACACATTGACGCTTCTTGTTAGTAAGGGCTTAATCTAAGCCCAGGTTCGTTCCGTGCAGTTGGACACATAAAGGTGAAGACTTAGCTGTGGATGAGCACCTCTGTGCTTTTACTTGGGAGGTACGCGACTGCATATGCTTGGGCTAAAAGCAATTTGGTGACCTCATTCATAGAGAAAAGTGTGGCTCAGGCCATTTGTGTAATTCTCCAAACCCCTCTTCATTCTTTCTGTTATCCTGTGAGACTGGTCATAAAGTCAAGGAGAGTTACTTAAAAACAATGTAAACAGTTATCTATTTTTTTACTCCCTTTGTGCACTTTTAACCCCAGTAACACGCCTTGCAAGAGAATCGTCTTTGATGTTTAGCTGGGCTTTTAGTGTTAGCTTCAGATTGTAGAAGGCAGCTATCAAAAGGCTGTGGTGCATTGATTAGATTGTATTGTTAGGGAGGGAGATGTCGTTATCCAGCCTGTAGTCTGTCCCCTGGGTTTGATAAGACATCCTTGGTGCAAAGCTGGTTGAAGTATTTGGGGTGTAACCTGACTTCATATATCGCAGCAAACACCTTAATTGCATTCAGATGACATTGACAGATTGCTGTATAGTCCATACCCTGCAGGTAAACATGCTACAGCGCTGTCTTTGTTAGCTTTGCCTTATTCTTGTACATAAAACATTTCTGTAGAACATTGTTAGAAATAAGATTGTGCTAACACCACTACTCCTTTCTTGATCTACATGCTATGTGTTACTGTGAATGAATGCATGAAGATATCCTGGTATAATTACATATGTTGAGAAGCATTGCTCGCATACCTGCACAATATGTGCATGCCACACTCTTGAAGTACTGATAATACATGTATTTGTTAAAAATATTTATAGCTGTCACAGATGCAACTTCATTGTTGTCTCACTATTCTGGTCATCTTCTGGCAACTGATTTATTGGCAGGAAATGTTATAGTAAAGACAAAGGTGGAAATTAATAATTATAGCAAGTCCTGTCTAAATTAACCATATGTATTACTGTGAGCTGTGCCCTGGGAGATCTCATACAGCAGCCTTCGGCCTGAATTGTTATTTATTTAGTGCTGTAAGAATACATGATACATGTTAGTGGTGAACTGTTCTAGACTACCGTTATTAAGAGTTAACAATGTGCTCGTGCTGTACAAGGCACAGCTATAGAACAGTTTTAACCACAAAAAGCTCATGGCCTAAAATAACAGGATCCTGCCCCCAAACAGCTTAGAATCTGGAGCTGAGTGCCTGAATTGTTATTTATTTAGTGCTGTAAGAATACATGATACATGTTAGTGGTGAACTGTTCTAGACTACCGTTATTAAGAGTTAACAATGTGCTCGTGCTGTACAAGGCACAGCTATAGAACAGTTTTAACCACAAAAAGCTCATGGCCTAAAATAACAGGATCCTGCCCCCAAACAGCTTAGAATCTGGAGCTGAGTCATTTGTTCATGCTTCTCTTTCCTCCCTTTTTTCTCCTCCGTCATTGAAAAGTAAGAGCAGAATGGTGCCATCTGAGCTGCTGATTGCTAATTGCTGTAGCTATGCTGAGGACATATCCAGGGTGACATGAACTTTTTGCACAGCAGGTGTCATCCTCAGAGGTAGTGGCAAAGGCTAGCTTCTTCGAGCTTGTCTTCACTAGTGGGTTAATATGAAGTTTGTAGTTTGTGTTTTCCCATTAACTCAACCCCTGTCCACACACATGCAAACAGTAATCGCTCTTGCCCAGTCGTGGCAGTAACCTTAGTTGGCTGACATGACTGCTGTTACAGAGCAGTCTTGAGCAAATCGATCTCATCAGTTTGTAACATGACTTGTCCACAGTCAGGAGCAAGTTAGCACCACAACACAACTTCAGGAGCCGCTAGTCCTTAGTGCCTTCACGCAATCCATCTGGCACGTGCTGCACCCTCACTTTTTGTTGCTTTTTCCCTGTTCCTTGACTAGGCGCCAGCTACCATTACATATAGGCCTGCTTGGCCTTCTGTCCACACCCTCCATGCGCCTTCCAGTGCCGGTATTGCAATCCTCCAT